AAGCACATCTATGTAATACCATAAAAGTATATGTTGGTGTACGTGTGTGTGTGTGTGTTCAAGACATGTTTGCAGTTGGAAGTGTAGATTCCTTTTGTGAACAGAAGACAGTTCTTAGATAACTCAGTGCTTGTTACCCCGGGCTCACGCTTTCTCCATGTCACAATCTGATAGATGAGTCTGCTTTTGGCAGTTAGCAGGAAAATCGTACTTGTTTGACTGCATTGTGCAAAGTGTAAAGTTTGGTGGAGCGGGGCTCATGACGTGGGGTTGTTTTTGTGGAGTTGGGCTCCACCCTGAGTCCTGACCTCTGCCCGTCAGAACACCTTTGGGATGAATTAGAGCAGAGACTTCAAGCTCATCCATCATCAGTGTCTGACCTCAAAAATATGTTTCTGGAACGGTGTTCTGCATGCGGTGTTCCTGAGTTCACTGATGTTATGGTGTGTAAAATTTTCACCACTGGATGTCAGTAGATTGCAGATTGCGGTTAACTTAGTTCTGTTTTTTTATACCCATCCCAATCATCCTAGCTATGTTGTTAGGATGGTAGATAGGAAGCACTTAAGCACAGAAAGAAATTGCTTATCTTGTATAGAGTGCTTTGAGTAGAAAAGTGCAATATCGGAAGAAGGCCATTTACCATAATGTCTCAGAACCCTACTGTGTTTACAAATCAAGTAATTCTGTGAAATGATTGATTGATGACTGTCCTTCTCTGATCCCCACAATGCCTCACAACAACTTAACTAATGGGATGGTGCATAGGCAGCCAGTCAGCCTGGGCCTCTGAACACACAGTTGCTCAAGAAAATTATAGCAGGGCCAACCCATTGTCCCTCCTACAGATGGTATACAAGCATACTTGCAGTTCCAAAAAGTTAAACTTTAACATTAGTCTGCAAGCCTAAAATTCTGTTTGTGACCTTGGAAATAGCTTAATAAAAATCAAATCACATAGAGCACTTACATCATATCACACACACACACACACACACACACACACACACACACACACACACACACACACACACACACACACAAAGGAATGAAATTCATCTCTTTGTGAATGAAATGGTTTTTTTTATATGATTTGTTAATAAGTTTTATGTTTTTTTAATTTTTTGAAATATGTATAGCTAAAAAATTTTGATCAGGTAACAAATTTACAGTTATTTCAAAGTGTCCTCCAGTTCTTGCAAACAGCAGCAGTTGTCCACATGATCTATATGTCCACTGTATTTGCAGTTTTGTTGTGTGCTGAAAGCTCATAAATGCTTATCATGTTTACTGTTTCTATGCGATCATGAAGATGTGTGGCTTTCAGCAAAGATACAACTTTAGTTATTTTGTGAGGTTTTGCCAGAATGATCAGAGGTTTTTTTAATCATGCGAAGGACAACATAATTTTCTTCATTATTGACCCAGATCCTAACCCCAAGTTGCTCTTCGATGTATCAATTGAAGCATGAATGTGTGTGTGAATGTTAAATACAATGCACTTCAGAATAGGAGAAAGTGCTTGTATGAATATGTGAATGGGGCATGTTATATAAAGCGCTTTGAGTGCTCTTGGAGAGTAGAAAAGCACTATATACCAATCAGATCATTTACCATTTATCATCTGAGTCTATGATGTTGACATCAGTGAAGAGATATCTATCCATCCATCTACAAATCATTTTTAGCCATCATACTGAAACCAGGGAGATGACACTGGGGTGAATCCAGAGTACTTTTTTACAATCTATCCCAGCAACTGGCATTGTGGTTTTAGTCAGTTAATCCTGAGCAGTCCATGTGTTTTTGAATGTTACTGTACTGCATGCATGCATCACTCTTTTCTGCAGGCTGTAGATTCATATACATGTTTGCTTGCGGCTTGTATCAGGATTCTTCTTTTCGGTCAGAAACCTTAGGCAGGGAAATACAAGAGAAAACAGGTCTAAATAGTCAGATGCCAGTCAGCCTAAACGAAGGGTTTTGAAGTGTAAGATTTGGCATTGTGTCATAATGAGGAAAATTGCAGTCTGTGTAAGTTTCAGACGACTACAAACCCTAGTGCAAAAACCATCTTTTTATTTCTACTCAAAAATCACTTTTATGTGATTAAAAATTTAAGAGTGTTTAGTATTTTCTGTGATTTAGAGATATTTGTAAATGATCACGGTAACCATAGCCCTTTTTTGGGTGCTCATGTCATTGCCCACATGAGCACCCAAGTTTCTCAATAAGATATGAGTCCCCAGGTGGAGCAACCTCAAGCAGCCCACTCAGGGACTCCAAGACAGCCGGGTACTCTGAACTGTCATTCGGCACATAGATACAGACAACTGTCAGGACCCTTTTCTTGCACCAAAAGCACAGGACCTGTTCCTCTCTCCCATTGGGAAAAACTCCAACGCACAGACAGCAAGATACCCACCCCGGCCACTGTGCTTTGGCCTTTTCTCCATTACACTGTTTCAAGGTATGGAGTGAAATCACAACATTACATGCAATCCTGGCCTCCCTTATGAGAAACTGCACAAACTGGCTAAGCTTGGAAATCTGCCAGTCTTCTCTTCTATCATTGAGACCTTTCTGTTCCACCTTGAAGTCAGCCCATCATGAAGCTTAGAGAGGACTTTTTGATTCTCATTATAGTCATTAAGAACCTGTAGACCCTTAATCTGGCTTTCGGCAGCTTCACAGCTACGCTGGAAGTCTACAAACACTTAAGTTCTAAACTGTCCTTGGAGCCAATTCTAGGCCATGCACTAAGTTTATCTCTAAAGGCTTTGACAATAAGAAAATAGTTTTCAAATCTCTCATCTAAAACTTCCCATGGTGCTTTATAAGCAGCCTCAGTGCCTAACAGGAAATAGTTTTCAACAGCCTTCTTAGCTGGTCCACTAACGTACTTGCACAAATAGTAGATTTTCTCAGAGGCTGGTGTGTTTTTTTCTTTTGATCAAAGTTTGAAAGGCAGCTTTCCAGTTCTTATGCTTTGGTGGGTCACCACTGAATGTTGTTGGCTTTGGCATAGGAAGATGACTAGCACTAATAGAATCTGCTATGGCAAGTGCTGCAATACTACCGTCATGCTGTGGCTGTATAATAGCTTGTTGTGGTGAACATCTGTCACATATGTGAGTTACATATGTGACTTGTGTGATGACTTGAGTCTCCTTCCTTTTCCCTTTCAGATTTTCATGCAAGTAGTAACTGCTTAATTTCTTCTCCTGAATCGTCATCTTGCTCTTGCTTTTACACTTGCATGGATGCCTTAGCAGCCTTAACTGTTTGAGTGCTTCCAATCACTCCAGTTCCTTGCACTTCTCTTCCAAAACCTTTCGCCTGGCAGCATTTTCAACCTCAAGTTTTGCTTGCAACTGTGCTTCTTCTTCCTCCATCCTTAAACATCATCTACAGGCCTCAGCTGTTTATTCTGCAATCTGTCTTTTATTTTCAGCTTCCAGCTGCAGAAGCTCTGCTTGCTGACACTGTTGTTCATGTATGATTTTCAATGTTGCTTGAGCTGCAGCGATTTTAGCAGCAGTTTCTTGTCCGCTCACAGATGATGCGCTGGAGGACTTAGAGGTGACTCTTGATGACCTCCGAATTTTCCTTTCCGTGCAGTCCATCCTTTCCAAAATGTTATTCTGACTTATGAAGCGGTGTTTCATCATTAGGTGTCCTGCAGCTGATTGATGGCATGTCACAAACCTGGTTTCCATCTTCACAGTGTCAATTTCACAGTTTCTGAAGAACAAAATGATCTACTATCTGAAACTATATTCACACCACACATAAGGTGTGTGGTTTTATACACATAAATTTACATTTCTGAGAAAAAGTAGTTCTGGGATAGAAACAAATCACACCACACATATTTCTTGTAGAGCTGATTGTTTAATTTTTTTTCTTGAAATCTTATTTAATTGAATTATTTTCCATTATTTGGTGTAATGAAGTTTTTTATCCAACCAATGTAAGAGCAGACCTTCAGAGAAACAGCTGATCCGCTACAGACACATTCCTCACTTCCAACATGAACACCATAAATCGTGTTGTTGAATAACACTCCACCACCAGAATCACCCTGAGAAAGAAAATATAATCCATAGGTTTATTTTAAAACATCTGATAATGGAGAGTAAACGTTAGCAGCATGGCAGCTCACCCGACATGTGTCCACTCCAGCTTCTTCATAACACATCGTGTTTCCATTTGGCCATAATACTGGTGAATTACATGGAGTGAGATTAAGCTCACAGTTAACAACATGCATCTTTGCACACCTGAGATGAGGCGGTTCATCAGGGCCTAAAAAAAAAGAGGAAAAGAACAAAAGCTACTCAGTGTTTCATGCAATGAAATCAGATCAGAAACACGCTTTCACTCATTTCTGGAACAAAATGTGTGAAGCTGAGCAGCATTTAAAAAGGAGGGAAACTGAGAGTATATCCACCATAAAATCAAATAAATACTGCATGTCATCACAGTTGTAAAATTAAAACAGGCTCACAAGCCAAAATCAAATTCTAATGTAAGCTAGAAAAATTAAAAAATAAAATAAAATAGGTCTTACGTGGGATGTTCTGTTGATTTACTAGATAACCACCAAGGCCTGCAATTTTAATGTCATTTCCTCTACAAATTAAAGAATAATAATTAATTAGTCCATCCATGTGTTGTGAGTACAAGATAAAATCATATGATTGGAGTCCACAGGCTGGGTATTTCCAGTTCACTATGACTAAAGCTAAATTAACTTTAAGGATTCAAAAATTAAACATTAAATTTCTGATTATTCTCTGAATTTTATGCCACTCTCATATTTTATTGTCCTTTACTCTGGGTCATGAATGCATCTCCTAAAGTAAAGAGAGTCTTATTCTCATTCTAAAGCATACTTGCAGATTTGCTTTAAGCATGTAAGAAAATCTAAATAATTCAGGTTACAACGACAGTTTAAAAAGAAAACCTATCATGCTTGTGTTGGAACTCACATGTTCGGAGGAACGGTACAATCAGGTAACTGAACAAGGTCAGTCCTGATCGATGCTGGTGAGATTTTCAGTAGCATGATGTCATGGTTCTGAAAGATTTGGTGATCCCTAATTGCAACCATACTTCCTGGACCTGGATGAATTCCTACATATGCAGACATAGTCCTAAACAATGGAAATGGTTATAACAAAGTCTTTATTATGAAAATAAAGAACAAATATCAGTAATGATTTTTGCCTCTGGCCTTTTTGATTCTGTCTAATCTTAAGTTTTAAGTGAAATTCTCATTTTCTCACCATCCAGGTTGATCTTTCCAACAGTGAGCTGCAGTTAGAACCCACTCTCTGTGGATCAGAGAGCCTCCACATCGAGAAACAGCTGTTCCTTTGGTTGCAGTTATTTTCACATGGTACAGATGCTTGGTGTTTTCACAGTCATAACCGTTGAAGATTCTTTTGTGTAAATCCAGGACTGCGCTCTCTGTGACACCTGAAATAAGCCCAGTAATTTACTTACAAATAGTTGGTTCACTGTCTGAACAACATTATCTTTCTCAGCCAGTTGTTAGGCTAAAAAGATTTATCATAAATAACTGATGAAATTCAAACATATTGTATGAGCGAGTGTTCCTGATACTGGGAAATTCTGACAAATGTACAAAACTGATATCAAAGGAGAAACAAAGAATTAGAAGGACATACATGATATTAACACAAAACAAGCAAAACAAGCCTTTATTAACATAGATGTGTCATAACCTAAGGAACAGTTCAAACAGACAAAGTTCAAACAAGCACAGGAAGTGAGTGCAGTAGTTCACTTACCAACCCACAGGAGGAGAAGGAGGAACTTCAGATGAGCCATTGCTGTCATTCAGCTTGCAGTGAATGCTGTGCTGGGACCCTTTTAAGCCTCATTTTTTAGTTAGTGATGGATCCACCAATCAAAGAGCCTAATGTTATCAACAAAACCCCATTGGTTCGTTGGGACAGTTTTCATGCAAATGTTGAACATCTCTTCATCTTAACAAAAAAGTGTCCTCATTATTTGTAGTCTTTGTCATCCACATACTCCAGGAAATGATACTGCATTTGTTAAAATAAGTTGTTTTTTAACAGAATAATTTCAAAGTTGAAGTTAATTTATACACACACAACTTTTTAGGGTGTGTGTATATCTTTTTCTAAGAGTAGCATAAAGGAAAAACTATAAAACATCTGTTCTTCAATTAGCAAGATATTGACTGACTTCATTTAACAATGTGTTTATTTTCTTTTTTGTTTGTATTTTGTATTGCACTTTCCTGTATTTTAATAAGTGATACTGCTGAACAACTACGTCTGGCTCACTGAGCACAAAACTCGGGGCCTTAGAATTTCCTGTTCAGTTCAATACTTGCTTATGAGAAGCAACATTTTCAAGAAGCAACACATATCAGTTGTGGTAACAGCCTTAAAACTTTTCTCTGTGCCTTTTTCAGTGGTCAGCTACTACTTTCTAAGTTTTTGTTGGTATTTCTTATTCTTTCAGCGCAGCTTAGTCATTCATGTTCGCATAATACTCATAATCAAATATAAATCAATTTTTGGATAAAAAGTTGTTTGACATCCTCCCGGATCATATTCTTAGCTTTTTAATAACAGCACAATTTTAATAATAATCAGTTTGTTTCTTTGATTTTTCATCATATTTTTCTGATATTCACTCTGTGCAGTTTCAGATCAGTTTGTGATGTGTCCAGGTGACAAAGCCTTTTGGGTCAAATTTGTGATATTTTGCTATGTAAATTAAAGTGGCCTTTGTCTTGACTGTTGTCACATATGATGATGTTTCAAAGGTTCTGCTATGGGCTCAGATGGTGCAACAGAAGATTAAATTTTTAGTTTTATTTTTTTCTTACCCGGACTAAAAACATATGCAGCAGTTTTTCTCAACTAGTCTGTAACACTTTCTGACACGTTCTTTAGACGGACTCAGGCGCACACCAGGAATTCCTTGTGAAAGAAGACAGTGCGTTTATTTACAGTGAGAAAACACCAGGTGAATATATGTACAGAGTGCCAGTGAAAAGGCGGTCCGGGGCTCCAGGGTCCGAAGGAAACAGGGAAAGGGTCCAACATGCTCCACTCTCTCACAGAAAAGTCCAATTCCTCTCCTCCGCTGCTCCTCTCGCTCACATACTCAAACTGTGGCCACAAGTTTGCATCATGGCGCTGATCCAGAATCCTTCCCTTATTGTTAATTCCTAGTGCTATAATAAAAAAGCGATAAGAATAAAAAAATGAAGTAATAAATTTACAATAATGTATGTATGATGATTCAATTTATTTGACTATCCACTCGGTGCAGGCACAACGTTTATGTATTATTGTATAAAATACAATCATGTATTTTCTTTAAAATGTGTTTTTTGACTATCATAATTACAATAATCCAATCCATAATTGTGTTTTCTTGTCATTGTCTTTTCAAAGCAAACAGGAGTTTAAACCACAGCAGTGAAATATGAGCTGAGTCAACTGAAGGTGAACAAGAAAGAGCCTGACACAGCTGTTGTGTTGTGCAGTTTCACCTGCAGTATATAACATATCAGACTAGAGTTATGTCCTACAGCTTCGGTTCCTGAGAGTGTGAAACGTTAACATGGTCCTTGTGTGTGTGTGTGTGTGCACAATGTTTCTTTACAAGTGAAACTAGAACCACTAGATATGTGGTTCTAGTTTGGCTCTGTTGGCTCTGCTGCTGCTTTGTTTGCTTTACTTCCAAACTTTCTGCATTTAGCAGCATTTTGCTGTTAGCTAATCAAACAGAGGCAAGCAGAGAGAGTCTGTCACCTTCCTCCCTAAACTTGATTAAATTTACCACAGTGTAATAGTGTACATATAGTTGAGGACAGAGAGACAAAACAGGTGAGATGAGGAAGTGAAGAGAGAGCGTTATGCAGTTTTCCCACTCCCACCTGATAAAACCATCTGTTTTGTTTCTCATGACACTTCTTTCTCTCTGATTCTTTCACTGTCTGTGAAAACAGAAGACTTTATTCATAGAGTTGTTGTTTTTCAAGGTTTTTATTTTGTTCTGTTCCATTTTGGCATTTTGGCATTTTGTCTTGCACAGTATGAGTGCTGCACACTTTGGAGGAAGAATGAAATTGTTGCTAATAGTATTTTTGTCAGACTGTGTCATGTATGTCACCATAAATTCACTCAAAAGTCGTGTTTACCGTTCTAAAAGTGCTCTACATGTACTATGGTCCAGTGGGTGCTGCACAGTCTCCTGTTCTAACATTTAATCAGTCTCTTGGTGCTACATGACTCGTGCACATGAGCAACTAACAGATGATCACTCGAAACAGGAAGTATCTGTGCTCAATTTTCAGTGTCATGGCAAACGCTGTGGAGGATATTTTATGATCACTGACCATAATTTCAAAATACTTATTTGAGAAGTCGTTGTAATATTAACTTTGAGCCTTTTATTTTTGATGACAGATCATATTGACTGATTGTTCTGAGAGGCTGTGGCTGAGAATATTAAAAGATGGAATCAGACAAGGAAGATGAAAAAGGAATAGAGAAGGACACGGGGAAAAGAAAAGAAAAATATAAAGTGCGATGATGCAGAGTAGAGAGAGTAGATGTGAGATGAATCAGTAAAGAAGTAAGAAAAGAGCAGCCTGCAATAGTCCACTGTTAGTATAACGTACAGTGGGATGCAAAAGTTTGGGCAACATTGTTAATAGTCATTATTTTCCTGTATAAATCGTTGGTTGTTACAATAAAAAATGTCAGTTAAACAGACACACACAGTGATATTTGAGAAGTGAAATGAAGTTTACTGGATTTACAGAAAGTGTGCAATAATTGTTCAAACAAAATTTAACTCACTAACAACCTTGGAAGAGATTTTTATTTGTTTATTTTGCATAGGCTATTAGTATTAGGGACCCACTAATCCAATAGTTTGATTAGATATCAGTCCCATATTTACAAAAAAACCTTGGTCAGATATTGGTGACAATGAGCTGATCTATTATTCACTTCTTTTTTTTTTTTTTTTTTTTTGCCTGTCCCATTTGGTTCTTTAGCCATCAGAATTGTTGTCTGAAGACCAACAAGGATACCCAATGGATTTACTTTGCCAAATGGATCATCGTGGCATTGCCGTATTGGTCCATTTGGTCGATCTTTGTTTTTATTATTTATTATATTTTATTTTCAGATGTTACAGATGGGACAGACATGAGTGAGGGATAGGAAAAGAAAGAGGAAGGAAAGGAAAAACAGAAGGGGAGAGGGACAGTGAGAAAGGGGGGGAGAAAAAAAAGTAAAAATCTCCTGGATCACCTGTTGAGAGAAGAATAGAAAACAAGCAAAAAAACAAAAAAAAAAACAAAGCAACATACTAAACACAACACCATCGCATTAATCTAGCTAAGTGTAAACAGCAGTAAATACTAAATATTCAATGTTGTTGTGCAGCACGCAGGACAGATGTGCTTCGAAGTAGCGGCCAAGAAAGGTGTAATTTAAGTCTACGAGCAGTGAACACCCGTGTGCATACCTGTGTGGATCAGCATGCTTGTATTCCAAAGGTTTCTCCATGTAACGATCTGCTAGGGAGTGTGGGGGGGCCACAGCCCCGTCCTCCAGGGTGTGAAGCAGGTATGGAGGAGGTCAAAACTCCAGACATCCAGAGGCCCCCAGAACACAAGAGACCATGGAAGACCAACAGAGGGGCAGCCGCGCCACTGTTCCAGTAAGAGCTGAGGAGAGTCCCAGATAAGGGTTCACTCAGCAGCCGCGGAGCAGAAGCCAGGGGGAGTTGCAGTGACGCGCCCATGAGCTCCGCCGGCAGCCAGCTGTGCCTGAGTGACCGAGCCCCAGGCCGAGAGGCCGGGGGCACCCCACCTCCGAAGTGGACCGAGCGAGCCCCAGGTTCCAGGCCCCGATAAGCGGCCGCCAAGGAGTGAGCCGGTGTGTACCTGGACGCCCACCCCCAGACACAAAGAACCACCAACGCACCGACACCTGAGGGAGTCCGCCACTGGCAGGGGAAGTGGTGGTGGGTGGAGATAGGCCTCCAAACCTTGGAGGACCTGAGGTGTCCCCAGAGAGGTGGTGTCTGATACCCAACCTGACATATAGACACAGACATACGGGCACACACAGACACAAACATCCATTCCCACCCTCATGCTCTCATATGCACTCACTCCACACTCAACCAACGTGGAGACAGACATAAAGAGACGCTGTACACACGATCACACTCCCCAAGCGTACTCTACAAACCGGGTCTAGGTACCCTTGCCCCTGGAGGGGGGAACTGCACCCAGACCCAGGTGGTGTTACCCCTTTCCCTGCGGTGGGGAGAGGCAGACCACCCCGACTCCGTAGCAGCAGGGAGGCCCCACACTCCAGACCGCAGTCGGACGGCCAACTCCTCCTCCTAGCCCTCCCGCTCCAGCAGGCCGCAGAGAATGGGGGTGGAAGAAGACTCCAAACCTCCCTCCACCCGCTCATTGTAGTGTTGATGCATGTGTGTTCTAAGGTGCATTTAAAACCCAGGAGGGCATGGAGCTACCTGCCAAGGATAAGCAGGTAAGCGCATAGTCCCTCCTGCTAGCCCTCAATGTCTAAGTGTATATTAAAATTGAGAGGTGGGCAACGACGCCAGGGGTGAGGTGTACACCCTGATGGTAATTTGGACTCCGTGATTGTGCCCACCCCCAAGATCCTATATGTATGTGTAATGAGAGTGTGATCTATTATTCACTTCTGGTTTTACTTCAACATGCCACAGGAGGGCTAACGTAGCATGGAAGCAGCTAAGAGCACAGCAACAGTAGTGTGGGCGTGTT